TTAACTCCTAGTGAAGTTTGTATCTTCTAGATTACAATTCTACGTGATGCTGGCACAAGGCTTCCAGCCCATCCCATCTTCTGACCCAGGAAATAAAGACATTCTGCCTTTGGGCCCCATAGATGGGGCATCCAGAGAATTTTTACTTCTCCAATATTATGCCCATAAAATCCACAAGTAGAAATTACAGAAGAATGACCATTGTACCTCATCTCCACTTAAGATTAAGTGATCTCTACAGCCGGGCATAGTGGCTCACGCCTGTAATCCAAGCACTTTGGAGGCCAAGGTGGGAGGATCACCTGAGGTCGGTAGTTCAAGACCAGCCTGACCAACATGGTGAAACCCTGTCTTTAAAAAAAAAAAAGATTAAGTGATCTCTTATAAATTGAGGATTATGTTAGGAAAACAGGAGCATAGGAGAACCAGGGTGATACCATTTTAAAAATCAACTCCATCTTAAAAAACTAGCAAGGCGAGGAGGAGCAGGAGGAGGAGGAGGGGGAGGAGGAGGAGGGGGAGGAGGAGGAGGGGGAGGAGGAGAAGGAGAAAAAAAAAAAACAACTAGCAAGGCACATTCCTTGCCAGTCACCACTCATGGCCATAAGATGTTTGGCTAAGGAAGCAGTTTAGTAATGCCTGTGAGAACAAACTCCTATGACAGCAGAATGTCCAGATGTACTGATATTGAGTAACAATATATGCTTTTAAGAGAGTTATAATCATGCTTTGAGGTACTTATACACTCAAATGCCAAGGATAACTGTCTTTCAATCAACAGATTCCTAAATTGTCATGTTGTCAGCCCACTAGCATGTAGACATAACTTAGCTTTAACATAGGTAAGATCCCTACATAAGAAGAGTTTATTTTATTTAATTAATTAATTTATTTTTTTGAGATGGAGTCTTGCTCTGTCACCCAGGCTGGAGTGCAATGGTGCGTTCTCGACTCACTGCAACCTCCACCTCCCAGGTTAAAGTGATTTTCCTGCCTCAGCCTCCTGAGTAGCTGGGATTACAGATGCGTGCCACCACGCCTGGCTAATTTTTTGTATTTTTAGTAGAGGCAGAGTTTCACCATGTTGGCCAGACTGGTCTCAAACTCCTGACCTCAGGTGATCCGCCCACCTGAGCCTCCCAAAGTGCTGGGATTACAGGACTGAGACGCTGTGCCTGGCCAGAAGAGTTTAAAACAATGATGGCGTGTTCCTCCTCTTGCTTTCTGAGAACGCCTTACTATGTAACTGAGTAGCTTTCAATAAGCTACCTCTTACTGTGCTCTCTGTGACTCACCTTGAATTTCTTCCTGCGTGAGATCCAAGAACCCTCTCTTGGGGTCTGGATTGGACCCCTTTTTCCAGCAACGATGAGACACTCTGAATTTTGGAAGATTTTAAATTCCTGTAATGGCAGAGGTGTTAGGGAGGGTGATATAGAGGAGGGGGAGGAAAAGTTAGAAATAAAACTCCAAGCTAGGAGACAGTCTGGATAATAGAAATAAATCCAAATGTCTTATAAGAGGATTAGTTTTAATCAGTTTGATGTAAAGAAGTATACTGCCAATGGCAGGGGTGGAGGATTGTGTAATTTCCGTAAATAACACTGAAGATGTCACTGTTTCAAATGTATTTATAATCCCTGGGTTAAAGTCAGCTCAGGAATGGAAAGACATTTTTAACTGGCTGAGTCTACGGCAGGTGGAATGAGTGCTTCCTAAGGTGGGGCAAGCAAGAGATGAAGAGTGTTGAGTTTATGATTTTTTGAGTTTATTACTAGGTAGCTTAATTTTAGTCACTGATATGCCTGCCTTCAGTCAAAGGCAACAACAACTCAATTGTAACATTTGAGTTGTGGTGTTTTGCTTTTTATATACACGAGGTTTCAAAGCACTTATGTGGATGTTTGCCCACATTCTCTCACCCTATCTCCTAACCAGAGGCATCCACTTTAGATCTGGCAGCCTCATAAAGCCCATTAACAAGGATTGAGACCAAAGAATACTTTTCAGACTCTAAAGTTAACCTCTGCACCCTGGACTTAAATCTTCTTGAGTCACCTGAACAAGCATTTCATTTCAAAACATTACAGGACAGTTTTGAATGACATGGTTAGAGTCTTGTTTAAAAATGGGTGCAGGTATCCAGGGGACAGCTGGTCTGATGTCACACTGGTCAGTGATGCAGTGACAGAGTCTTCGTGAGCTCTAGCAGCAGAAAGTCATATCAGCTGCAGATTTTCCTCAGGCAATTCAAGCCTCCAAGCCTGATTCTACACACAAACTGGGTGCACCCGTCCACTGCAAGTGAGGATGAATAGGAGACGGCGATGCTTTGGGTTCCTCTGGAATGTGCTTCACAAATACTAAGGGTAATCACTGGGTGGGGTGGTCAATCATTTCATAAACCAAACACCAATTAACCCTCCCAAAAGGAAAGAGGCTAATTTGTTACACTTAGGTATTTCCAAGTAAAACATCTCAGCTAAGGAGAAGTTTGGAAAGAGGGAAAAGTATGTGAATGCTCTTTAGCATGGAGCAATATGAAACCACCACCGGAAAAAAATAATGCACAGGTAACATCTAAGTACTGCTCAGAATGCTGCAGTGATCACATCACTCCTCTGCTCAAAACCCCTCGGTGGTTTGAAATTATATGCCGAGGAAATGATATACAAACCCTCCAGCCTAGCATTGAAGGCCCCACGCTTCCTTTCCAACTCCACCCCACAGCCCCCACTCAGTCTGCTTTGGCCAGCCCGGGCTCTAGCAGGAATCTGAGTCACCTGAACCTGAGCAGCTGCTCCGGTCAAAAGAGAAGTAAACATCAATTACCGGCGCCTGCACTAGCCTTTCCCACACCTGTCTGCCCATCCTACCCACCCCAGCTGCATTTTGTCCCGCTCTGGAAGCTCCCAGCTGTCGCTTCTCATAACAGCAACTTTCCTTCTCTAATGGTTACTAAACTTAAGTCCGCACTCTCCTCCAAGGCTGACACACTTTTCGGATCAGGTCCGCGGTGTCACTGGTGTACAGTCCTAAAATTAAAACGGAACTAAGGTGCTTCGGCAAAGATACCACCTCTTAGATCCCACACTCTCGGGGAAGAGGATCCAGCCGGCCTGGAGGACGCGGACCCCCCTGCGTCCCTCTGGCTGTACAAACTGCCCAATGACCGGCCGCGGCGGGGATGTTTCGTGAGCGGCCGGCCAATAGCGGAGAGGGGGGCGGGCCTCGGTAGGGGCCTGGCCCAGTGGGAGGCGTGCGGGGGACGTCCCCCCGCGGCCCGCCGGAGTATATAAGGCCCCACTAGCGCCCGCTCCCTGGGATTCGTGGTGTAGCTGGAGATTTGCAGCGCGTCTGTAGTCAGCGACCCTCCACCAACCTAAACTACCGGGTCGGCCATGGTGAGGGACGCTGTGCAGGGGAGGGTGTCGCACGATAGGGAGGATGCCGGGGCCCCCGGGGGTTTGGTGGGAAGCGCCTGCAGCGCAAAAAGGAAGGACGCCCCGGCAACCCAGGGTGTGGGGTGGGCTGCGCGGGGATGCCAGGGGTGTTTGGGCGTTCAGGGCGAGGGTGGGCTCTGCAGAAAGCCCGGGGACGCCCGAGGAGTCCCGGCACCACTTTTCTACCCTACTTCCCCCTGCGGAAGACCGTGCGAGCTAGAAAGGTTCTGAGCGCTCCAGGGGCGCTGCGGAACTGGGCAGGCTGGAGAGGTAAAGCGCGGGGCGAGAACGCGATGGAGTCGCTTGTGCGCTGCGCGCCAAGTTCGGGCAGCAGAGTCGGTTCTGCGGCGGAGCGCGCTCTGGAGCCTGGAGGGGATCTAGGAGCCGCCCTTAGTTCTCCCGAGACGGTCCTGGACAAAGACATGCCCGCCTGCAGCTGCGGTCCCCGCCTCCCTCTGAGATCACACTCCCACGCAGGAGGCAGGGCCCGGGATGATTGGGACGCTCTAACAGGTTTCTCCAGTTCAGAACCTGTTTCCCTGAATGCCTTCGTCTTGGGCCAGAGGTAGAGGTCCTCGCCCTTTGGTCCCATACTTGACTAGGGACTCCTGTAAGCTCTTGGGGTCTTGAATGTTCTTGACTCCACTTCTCTCCTGTGTGGACCCCAAGGACTTCAGGTCTCTCCGTTAAAATGGAGTACTTGGGGTGCGTACACAGAAGTCCCTGTGTCCCCTAAAAAAACCTCTTGATCCCCGTCTCTGCTCTGAGCCCCCTTAAAGGCTCTGAGGCTGTCTTGGAGGGTAGATCCTAAGACTGTTAAACTGTTACCTACCGTCACCCTAGAAGATCCCTTCTACATTTTGGAGGTGCTCCGCCCTTTTAAATTGATCCTCTAGAATGTGGGTTGGGGTGAAGGACCAGAAGATGGGAGGGAGGGTTTCTCCACCATAGAAGCTACCTGAGGGAACAGAGTCGAAAGGTGGGGTGGGTCTTCTGGACTCCACTGTGATGCTTAATTAAGGGGTACTTGATTGGTACTGCAGTTGGCAGGGACAGGTGCTAGGGTAGGTGCCTGTCCCCCCAAAAGGGGAGTTTGTGGGTGAACTTTCAGAAGGCTAGCTCTAACTCCAAGGCTGCTTCCTCAGTTGATCCACAGGTTTGAACTTCGTCTTCTGCCCTTTCGGGTTGTGGGGGTGACAGTCACTGCACATGGGAGACCTCCTTCTAGGCCCCAGTGCTTGAGTCTAGAAGCTCTTGGTGGGCCTGTCTCGGAATACAGACTCTGAACTTTCCCAAGCCACCCAAACAGCAGAGGGCACTGTGCAGTGGGATTTGGCTTTCTCTAGTTCCTGCCCCAGAGACCTAGGCTTATATAACCACCATCTTAAGCACTGCGTGAATGAAGGAAAATGAGGGCCTGGAGGTGGTTTGGCTTAAAGTATGGGAGGGGCTGAAAGAGAACCAAGTCTTCCGGGCTTTGGGTTTTTTTTTTTTTTTTTTTTTTTTTTGAGACAGTCTTGCTCTGTCTCCTAGGCTGGAGATCAGCTTACTGCAATCTCCAACTCATGGGTTCAAGTGATTCTCCTGCCTCAGCCTGCCGAGTAGCTGAGATTACAGGCGCCCACCTGTGATCTCATTCCTTGGTGAAAATTTACATTAGTCTGCATTCTTACCCCATTCAAAAGTGAAGTGAGATTCCCTGAACATGAAAATTAGCCTAATTTTGTATTTTTAGTAGAGACAGGGTTTCACATGTTGGCCAGGTTAGTCTTGAACTCCTGACTTCAGGTGATCTGCCTGCCTTGGCCTTTTAAAGTGCTGGGATTACAGGTGTGAGCCACCTTGCCCGGTCAGGCTTCAGAACTTTGGACTAGGTAACACTAAGCTTCAGCCCTTAGGAAAGACAAGGGTGCTCCCAGGGAAGGCTTTTCAAGCCCCCATCTTTTACTCCACATCACTCAGGGCATGTTCCTCTGCTCACCCTCATAGTGTGAGTGCATCTCCATCCACGTGGGCCGGGTGGGAGTGCAGATGGGCAATGGCTGCTGGGAGCTTTACTGCCCGGAGCACAACATCGAGCCCAGGGTACCATGCCCAGCCACAAGGCCCTGGGGAGTAGTGATAACTCCTTCAACACCCTCAGGGAGACCCAGGCTGGCAGACATGTGTCCCAGGCTGTCTTTGTGGACCTGGAGCCTGCTGTCATAGGTGAGTGGATGGAGGAGTAGGGCCCTCTCCCCCAGGCCATAGTTTTTGCTAGCGACAATGTCAGACAAGAGCTCTGCTTAAGGGGAAAATACTTGAGATGAAAGCCGTCCCCTCCCATGAACACTGATGTCTGAAGTCTATTGCTTTTGTCTAGACTCTGTCTTCGGAAGGGATCCTGGGGGCTTCTGTATTGAGAGGAAGATCATTCCCACAGCTCTGCCTGGAGACTGCCAGATAGAAGTCAGTGATCAGGCTGAGAACGCAGACTGCAGAAAGGAGTGGATGTAAAAGCAGATATTTAAAACTAGCTTTTCCCTGCCCTCAGGCTCTTGAGGGTGGCCCATTGCCTAAGAAACAGGGAGCCGAGAACATTCATAATGGCCCTCTGCTTGGCCTTAACTGAAATAGGCCCCTCGTGGGATGTGGGCCTGTGTGAACCGGCTGTTGCTGGCTTCCGGAGGCTTTCCTGCTTCCTCCCTTCTGCAGCTGGATCTCCTCAGCTTCCCAGTCTTGACAATCCTACCCCTCCCCCACTTTTAAAAGCTGTTATTTTAGATGTTAAACGCTGGACTGGGTTTCTTCATTAGTCTGTATTCTCTTTTTCTCATTCTTTGGTGAAAATTTACATTAGTCTGTATTCTTACCCCATTCGAAAGTGAAGTGAGATTCCCGTAAACACCATTCTGATTCCTCACCCAGCAAAATGAAATGGCTGTGATCAGAGGGAAGGGGCCACCAAAGATACCGCCTGCTCTCCCCATCCCAGGCCCAGGCAGGACCCAGCCTTAGAAGTGGGCCTCTGGGATGCTGTGTGTCATCACTCTGTTGAGCAGTTTGGAGAGGCTTAGCAGCAAAGGTTCTGGTGTCTGGTGTTCCCTTGGGGAATGAGACCAGCTTGTTTTTACTTTGTTCGTTCTCACCCTCAAGATGTGGTAAGAACTGACTTTTCTTTTTTTTTTTTTTTTTTTTTTTTTTTTTTTTTTTTTTTTTTTTTTTGAGACGGAGGTTTGCTCTGTTGCCCAGGCTGGAGTCCAATGGCGTGATCTCAGCTCACTGCAACCTCCGCCTCCCAGGTTCAAGTGATTCTCCTGCCTCAGCCTCCCAAGTAGCTGGGGTTACAGGCACCTGCCACCATGACCAGCTATTTTTTTTTGTATTTTTAGTAGAGACAGGGTTTCCTTACTTCCTTCACCAGGTTGACCAGACTGGTCTGGAACTCCTGACCTCAGGTGATCCGCCCACCTCTGCCTCCCAAAGTGCTGGGATTACAGGCATAAGCCACTGCACCCAGCTCAAGGACTGGCATTTATAGGCAGCCCTTCCACCCTCAGCAGCTGATGTCTGGTATGGAAGATGCTGCCAACAACTATACCTGTGACCAATACGCTGCAGGGAATGGAGATCATCAATTTGGTGCTAGAGTGAATCCGAAGACTGGTGAGCAGGCCTTGGGTACCTAACAGGAGGTCATTGCATCCTTAGCCTTCTCCCTGGCTGAGAGGCAGCCACAGCCTGTGCTGGTACCTGACATCATTCCTCCGGCCTGTCAGTCCGCTCAGCTTCCCCTAGGGGGATGTGTGTTTTCCGACCTGGGTGCGGGTCTAGGGTTGGAAGCCTGAATAACTTGCTCTGCCTTGAGTTTGTGGACTCAAGCTTCTGTCCTGGTGGTTCCTCACTTTGCCAGGTCTGTCTGATCCATGCCTTTGACCTTTGGTCTATCTCTGCAGCAGCTCAGCTTGTGGTTCTTAGACTACTAAGCAGATCTGTCCAGGTAGGAGGGGCTCCTGCCTAGTGCTCAGCCATTTCTCCATTTGACCCATCCCCTGTTTGAGGCACTGAGAACCACGAGTGAGGCTACCTGTGAGCCAGGACTTTGGCCCTGTTGCCGTAAAGGATTGTCTGGACATCCTCTCTGCTGCTCAGTAGACACTGAGGACTTCGAAGGGACCTGAGGAGTGGGAGTCTGTGCTCCCTTCCTCAAGAATGAAAAGAAAATGCCTCCTAGGGCTAGAATTCTCTTATACGGTCACTACCCATGTGTCTGGTATAGACTGATGCTTTTCTTACCCAAGAAACACCTGTACCAGAATCACCTGGGGTACTTGTTAAAGCTGTGGGTTCCTATGTTCCAGTCTGAGGTGACACCTGGTAATCTGTATGTTCTTTTCTTTTCCTTTTTTTTTTAATTGAAACCACCTTTGCATGTATGTTCAATAGGTTGCCACCACCACTCCCACTCCGCTGTAACTAGACGGCAGAGCAACATAACTGAGAGGGCCTGGCTCTCTGACTGCAAATCTTATATCCTGTCTCATCCCTACCATTGCATAGACACAGCACTGCCTTTCCAGGTCATCTTTTTCCCAGGAACTCCAAGCCTCTTGTAGATAATCTTTGCTTTTTTTTTTTCTTTGAGAGAGAGTCGCTCCGTTGCCTAGGCTGGAGTGTCACCAGTGGTGCAGCCACAGCTCACTGCAAACTCCGCCTTCTGGGCTCCAGCAATCCTCCCACCTCAGCCTCCTGAATAGCTGGGACTACAGGTGTGTACCACACCCAGATAATTTTTGTGTTTTTTTGTAGAGATGCGGTGTTGCCATCCCAGCACTTTGGACAGATGAGGTCCACCCCACCTGGACAGGTGATCTTTTTTCCCCTCTATGGAGGTGAAGCAAAAGGACATGAAGGAACTTTCTGAGGGTGATGAGAATTTCTGTATCTCTGTTGGTTTGGTTATATAGGTGTCTATGCATGTCAAATCATTCACCATATGTCCAATAAGATGCACACACTTAACTATAAACTACAAAGTCTTTCTAAAATACAAAAGTGAATGCAAGTGTAGTTGGGTAACAGTAGCTTTCAACACAGAAGTTTCCTCAGGAAAAGAGGGTGGGGGCAGGTGACCTGCCATCTGCATCCTTAACGGTGTTATCTCCTACTGCAGACAGATGACTAGGGGCTTCAGGGCTTCCTGATCTTCCATAGCTTTGGGGGTGGCACTGGCTCAGGCTTTACCTCCCTGCTGATGGAGCAGCTTCCTGTTGACTGTGGCAAGAAGCTTAAGTTGGAGTTTGCCATTTACCCAGTCCCTCAAGTGTCCACGGCAGTTGTAGACCCTATAACTCCATCTTGACCACCCACGCCGCCCTGGGGCACTCAGATTGCCTTCATGGTAGACAATGAAGCCATTTCTGATATGTGCTGCCGCAACCTGGACCTCAAGTGCCCTACCTGTGCCAACCTCAACCGGCACATCAGCCAGATTGTGTCCTCCATCACTGCTTCCTTGCATTTTGACGGTGCCCTCAACGTGGACCTTACAGAGTTCCAGACCCATCTGCTGCCCTACCCTTGCATCCACTTTCCCCTGGTGACCTGCTCGCCCAGTATCTCAGCTGAGAAGGTCAACCATGAGTGGCTGTCGGTGGCAGAGATCACCAGTGCCTACTTTGGACCCTGCAATCAGATGGTCAAGTGTGACTCTCGCCACATGTGTGGCCTGCCACATGCTCTGCTGTGGAGAGGTGGTCCCCAAGGATGTGAATGCCGGCATCACCACCATTAAAACCAAGTGCAATATCCAGTTTGTGGACTGGTGTCCCACAGGTTTCAAGGCAAGTGGGGTAAAGGGCAGTTAGCACATGGCCTGTGTTCCTGGTGAGAAGGAGCTTTCTGCAGAGCAGGTGTGAGGAACAGATGCAGAGGATCTTACTCTGTCACCCAGGCTGGAGCACACTGGCGTAATCTTGGTTCACTGCAGCCTCGACCTCCTAGGCTTAAGCCGTCCTCCCACCTCAGCCTCCTCAGTAGCTGGGACCACAGGTTTGTGCCACCGTATCCTGCTAACTTTATAGTTTTTGTAGAGGTGGGGCTTCACCATGTTGCCCAGGCTGGTCTCAAACTCCTGGGCTTGGGTGATCCACCCACCATGGCCTCCCAAATTGTGGGGATTATAGTCGTGAGCCACTGTGCCCTGCTAGAGGATGTCTTTAACTAGATAGATTTCAGCTGGTCTAGAAGCCAGGCCTTTGGACTGTAAGCAAGGGTGGATTCTACTTGAAAGACTGCCTTGATGAAAGGAAGAGCATCCGTTTCATTTTACTTAGCCTGATAAATAGGCATTCCCAGAGCTGCCAGTCACATGCGGAGAATGGCCTTCTCATCACTTGTGCTAGGGACATAGCCCCGTGCTATGGCTCCTGCTCAGAAGGGAAGTCTTTTAGAAGCCAGAGAGGCCCATTATCAGATGATGGGGAAAGTGCAGATCAGAAGGTCAGAAGGATTCTTGTGTTCTGCATCTGTGAATGCATTCTCTTCCTTTTGCAGTAATGAGGAAGAAGCACTCATTTATGCCCCACCCTGTTATCAGTTCACCTTCTCAGGGTACTGGGCATATGACCTAGTTTGTTTTATGAGTTTTGTTCTGGAATAAGATTCCAGATAGATTAAAGATGGCAGCTGTGGCATTAGAAAACATATATAGCTTTCCTGCCCCGTGGCACTGCTGTGAATATGACCACAACGGAAGGAGAGGCAGGGATAGTACAGGAAGATCTTTAGCTACTTAGAGGAGGAATAGGCTGCCTTTAGGACATGGTCAGCTTGCTGTCCCTACAGGCACTAATGGGAAATTGACTTTTTTTTTTTTTTTTTTTTTTTTTTTTGAGAATGAGAACCACTAAAATGTATTATATATTCTGGGCTGGGCGCAGTGATTCAGGCCTGTAATCCTACCACTTTGGGAGGCAGAGGTGGGAGGATGGATTGAGCCCAGGAGTTTGAGACCAGCCTGGGCAATGTGAGACTCCATCTGTACAAAATATAAAAAAAAAAATTAGCCAGTCATGCTGGCGTGTGCTTACAGTTCTAGCTACTCGGAAGGCTGAGGTGGGAGGATTATCTGAGTCCAGGGGGTTGAGGCTGCAGTGAGCTATGATTGCACCCCACACTCCAGCCTCAGCAACAGAGTGAGACTCTGTTTCTTAAAAAATAAAACTACATATTCTGGTAGATTAGCGTTTAAAGCAGGTTAAATTTAGCTCTAATTGGAGATCTTCCCGAAGTTTAACATTTTTTAAACTGTTTTCTTAACTACAGGAAAGGAGGGATACCAGTTCGTTTAACACCCATATAGCCACTACCTGGATTTAACATCTAGGTCTGTTTCCCTTATTTTTGCTTTACTGACCTTATTTAAACTCACTCCTCTTTGGGGGCAGGGGGAGATGGAGTCTTGCTCTGTCACCAGAGTGGAATGCAGTGGTGGGATCTCAGCTCACTGCAACCTCCGCCTCCAGGATTCGAACAATGGTCTTATCTCAGCCTCCCGAGTAGCTGGGATTACAGGTGTGTGCCACCATACCCTGCTAATTTTTGGTATTTTTAGTAGAGATGGGGTATCGCCATGTTGGCTAGGCTGGTCTCAAACCCCTGACCTCGAAGTGATCTGCCTGCCTGGGCCTCCCAAAGTGCTGTGATTACAGGTGTCAGTCACTGCACCCTGCCCACAAAGGTTTTTTATAGTCAGTTTTTCAGTCATGATCTAACTGAGGAGCAGGCATTATGCTGCTTTGTCTCCACGTAAGAGTCCACCCATTCCCTTGACTGTGACTTTGAAGTCACTTGTCTTGCAGAAGCTCCCTCATTCTAGACTTGTTTCCCTGTGGTGATCATCTTCCTCCATCTTTGTTTCTTATAAGTTGATAAATGCCCCTTCCCCAGTTATGGGGATCCCCGTACAGACCTTCTGGGAAACATAGAACCAGGCACTTACACTTCTTTGTTTCTTCTTAGGTTGGCATCAACTACCAGGCCCCTATAGTGGTACCCAGGGGTGCCTTAGCCAAGGTTTGGCAGGAGGTCTGCATGCTGAGCAGTACCACAGCCATCACTGAGGCCTGGGCCCGCCTGGACCACAAGTTTGACCTGAAGTATGCCAATCGGGCATTTATGCATTGGTATGAGGGCAAGGGCATGGAGGAAAGGGAGCTGTCTGAGGCATGAGGACTTGGCTGCCCTGGAGAAGGATTATGAAGTAGGCACAGCCTTTGGCTGGCAAGGATGAGCATGAGGAGTTCTCGGGGTCCCGGCACCTGTAACGCCTGTTCTCTCGTACCTCAGTTGTGTGTGTATCTCATTCCGCTGTTTCCTGAACCCCTGCTAATACAGTTGATGTTGCAAGTGATCTGGAGCTGTGTGGAATTCTGCCCAGGCAGTGGGCCATCTTTAAGATTCCCAGCTTCCTTTGACGTCTTTTTTTTTTTTCTTTAGCTGGAGTTTTGCTCTTTCATCAGGCTGGAGTGCAGTGGCACGATCTCAGTTCATTGCAGCCTCTGTCTCCCGGGTTCAAGCGATTCCCCGGCCTCAGTCTCCTGAGTAGCTGGGACTACAGGCACGTGCCACCACGCCCAGCTAATTTCTTTTTTTTTTTTTTTTTTTTTTTTTTTGTATTTTAGTAGAGACGGGGTTTCACCATGGCCAGGATGGCCTCCTCCTTGATCTCCTGACCTCATGATCTGCCTGTCTCAGCCTCCCAGAGTGCTGGGATTACAGGCATGAGCCACCGCGCCCGGCCCCTTTGGTGTCTTTCTAAGTGAAAGGGCAAGGTGGCCTCTGCTGCTAGGGCCTCCAGCCAGGGCGTGTCGAGTGGAGGACTGGCACTGCTTTTCTCCCGTGTGAGCAGCCCACCCGACAGCTCTTTGCCAGCTCAGCACCCAGGCTGTAGAACTTCGACTTCACAGGGTTCCCTATTTGTGCCCCCTTGTTGCCAGCCCACCCCATGGAAGAGTAAGGCTTCTAGAGGTTTTGATGAAAGCCAAGGGTTTATCTGCCCCCAGTATTCTGGGACAGAAACTGCTGGACTTTAATGCCGCAAGGAATCAAGCACTTCTCACTCTCCTCCTGCCTGATGGCCAACAGAGGGCAGGACACGTTGCCTTCACAGGCCTGCCTGTGAAGCCATCTTAGACCTGAGGGCTCTACCCTGATGTTTTACAAACGCAAGGTCCAAGAAACTGGATTCCAAAAAAAAAAAAAAAAAAAAAAAAAACCAGTGGTCTCCAGCCTGGGACGATGAACATGTGAAACAACTCCCTTTAAGGCACAGGGTCTCACGGTGTTGCACGGGCTGGAGTGTCATGGTTATTGTCACACACGTGGTCACAGCATGCTACAGCCTTGGACTCCTGGGCTCAAGCCATCCTCCTGCCTCGGCCTCCCCATGTGGTGGACTACAGGCACCACCTCATACCTGGCTATGAAGTAAATCTTAAAAGTGCCTATGAGACTTGTAGGCAAGAAGTCTTATGTCTTCTTCTCAACGGAGTTCCTAGGGAGGAAATCGGGAACTATTGTTCTAGAGCCATAGCCATATCTGGTCGCATGTGGTTTCAGAGATCAATATATTAGTAAAAGGTTCTGGCGGTAGCCAAGGACTGAATTGATGGCCCCTTCTAGAACAGTCCAGGTTCAAGGAGGCTGCTTTTGTTATTATTTTGTTATTTTTTTGAGACAGTCTCTCTCTCCCAGGCTGGCATGCAGTGGCACGATCTCGGCTCCTTGCAACCTCTGCCTTCTGGGTTCAAGTGATTCTCCTGCCTCAGCCTCCTGAGTAGCTGTGATTACAGGGGTGCACCACCACACCCAGCTTATTTTTGTATTTTTAGTAGAGATGGGGTTTCACTATGTTGGCTAGGATGGTCTCAAATCCCTGACCTCAGGTGATCCACCCACATCGGCCTCCCAAAGTGCTGGGATTACAGGCGTGAGCCACTGCACCTGGCCAGGCTGCCTTTAAATAATGTGCTTAAAGTCCCCTCAGCCAGGAGAAGTTATAAGCTTATGTACTCTGCAACCACAGAGAATCTCCATGGAGTCCTGGCAAGGCTACTGAGCAAAACCTAACCCAGCCCCTGCCAGAAAGGTGAGGGCCACCCATACTCTTGGCCTGGATCTACCAACTCTGGGTTTTGGACACTTAATTCTAGCATGTGTCTGCCCCTCTCAAGCACCAGTGAGCCTTGAGGTTGCCTAAATGTTACCTGTGGCCTTGCTTTGGCTTCAGGAAACTGGTTACTAGCGTAGAGACTGATTCCCAGCATCTGTGGGCCTTGCCTGCTTGATCCCTGGGACGGCATTTACCGAGAGGATGGAATCCCAGAGCCTGCAGCATAGTGCCCAGGGTCATGGATGCCCCTGCCGTGAAACTGCGTGCTTAGGTCCAGAGGGGCTGTGGGCCTGTGTGCTGGTTGGTCCCCACGTGTTGGGCCTCTTCCTTTTTCCCCATCTTCCTCTGTATTTGCGTTTCTGAGCAGAGAGGTCTGACCGTCTTCTGCTTGGCTTTATTTCCCCTTTCTCTTAGTCCTCATAGTCCCAAAAAGACAAGGGCCTCAACCTACTCTGTTCATTTGTCTTTTGTGTAAGCATCACAAGTCTCCCTTGCTATAGCGGTTGATTTTTCTTTTTCTTTTTTTTTTTTTTTTTGAGATGGAGTCTCACTCTGTAGCCCAGGCTGGAGTGCAGTGGCATGATCTCGGCTCACTGCAACCTCCACCTCCTGGGTTTAGGTGATTCTCCTGCCTCTGCCTCCAGAGTAGTTGGGATTACAGGCATGCGCCACCACACCAGCTAATTTTGTATTTTTAGTCAAGACGGGGTTTCTCCATGTTGGTCGGGCTGGTCTTGAACTCCTGAACTCAGGTGATCCACCTGCCTTGGTCTCCCAAAGTGCTGGGATTACAGGCATGAGCCACCGTGCCCAGCCTTGATTTTTCTGTTATACTCCAGAGTCTTTCTCCAAAGCTGTACCTGGGAGACTCCTAACCTACTGGTTCCTCTAGTACTGGGGTTAGAGGTGGAATTAGGGCACAGAAGGAAGGGAAAGAGATCGGAGAAACCTGCCCTATGAAAGTGCCAATTAACAGATCTGGGTCTGTTCATGTGTGGCAAGTGCCTCTAGTCCCTCTGCCAGTATCTTCAGAAACCAGTGAGCTCATGTTTTCTTTCCTCCTCTTCCTCTCACATGGCACATGAATTCATACATATTAGCAGTTCTCCTCAGTTCATCGTGTAGAGAGATACCACTCCCCTAGCACATGCCCCAGGCCACAGGAAGGTGAACATCCAATGAGGGCTTGACTCCTAACCCTGAGCACTTCTGTGGTTAGATACCAGATAGAATGAGTCAGTTAAAGCTGGGGGTAGCAAGCTAGATGATTTATTTGGATACCTAGCAGCTGCTATACCTCTTCTCCTGGCCCCTAGGTAGAATGGAAGGTAAATCATGTTCTCATCTATGACCCATCCCTCTCTCTGTACTTTTGAAATAAGCAGGAAGGGTTTTTGTTCAGCCTTTGCCTGACCTGAACTCCTACCTCCCCACCTCCAAGCCCCAGATAGGGCCCAGTCCCTTGGGAGAGCCTTGCCAGGGTTCCTTTCAAACTGGAACCTCTGACAGGGTGAGGATGAAGAAGATAAATTCTTATCTTGGGATTGTGATCTGAAACTTAGAGACTCTTGGAGACACAAGCACAGTTGACCCTTGAACTGCAGGGGTTGGGGTGCTGACCCTGTGCGGTTAAATATTCACATATAACTTTTATCTGCCCCAAAACTTAGCTACTAACAACTTACCATTCACTGAAAGCCTTACCAATAATATAAACAGTCAACACATTTTTAATGTATTACTCTGTGTGTGTGTGTGATGGAGTTTCGCTCTTGTTGCCCAGGCTGAAGTGCAATGGCGTGATCTCGGCTCACTGCAACCTCCACCTTTCAGGTTCAAGTGATTCTCCTGCGTCAGCCTCCCGAGTAACTGAGATTGCAGGCACATGCCACCACACCCAGCTGTATTTTTAGTAGAGTTGGGGTTTCTCCATGTTGGTTAGGCTGGTCTAAAACTCCTGACCTCAGGTGATCTGCCTACCTCAGCCTCCCAAGGTGCTGGGATTAGGGGTGTGAGCCACCATGCCCAGCCAATATATTACATTCTTAAAGTAGGCTAATGGCAACAAAAGCCAAAATAGACAAATAGGACCTAATTAAACTTAAGAGCTTCTGCACAGCAAAAGAAACAGAGTAAACCGGCAACCAACAGAATGGGAAAAAATTTTCACAATCTACCCATGGAACAAAGGGCTAATATCCAGAATCTACAAAGAACTAAAGCAGATTTACAAGAAAAAAAAACATTCAAAAGTGTGTGAAGGATAAGAACAGATGCTTTTCAAAAGACAAATATGCAGCCAACAAACATGAAAAACTGCTCATCATCACTGGTCATTAGAGAAATGCAAATCACAACCACATTGAGATACCATCTCGCAGTTAGAATGGCGATCATTAAAAAAATCAAGACAACAGATGCTGGAGATGATGTGGAGAAATAGGATCACTTTTACACTGTTGGTGGGAGTGTAAATTAGTTCAACCATTGTGAAGACTGGTGATTCCTCAAGGATCTAGAAATAGAAATTCCATTTGACCCAGCAATCCCATTACTGGGTATGTATCGAAAGGATTATAAATTGTTGTATCATAAAGACACATGCACACGTATGTTCATTGCAGCACTGTTTACGATAGCAAAGACCTGGAACCCAAATGCCCATTGATGATAGACTGGACAAAAAAAATGGCACATATACACCACGGAATACTATGCAGCCATAAAAAATGATGAATTCATGTCCTCTGTAGAGACATGGGTGAACCTAGAAACCATCATTCTCAGCAAACTGACACAAGAACAGAAAGCCAAACACTGCATGTTTTTACTCATAGGCGGGTGATGAACAATGAGAACACTTGGGTACAAGGAGGGGAACAACACTCAGGACTAGGTGGAGGGGAGAGGGGGGTGCGGGGAGGATGGGGAGGGGTAACACGGGAGAAATGCCTGATGTAGGCGACAGGGGGATGGGAGGGGTGAGGGGAGGGATGGAGACAGCAAACCACCATAGCATGTATGTACCTATGCGACAGACCTGCAGGATGCAGGACATGCACATGTACCCCAGAGCCCAAATACAATAACAAAAAAGGCTAGAGAAAAATCGTAAGGAAGAGAAAATATACTTACTGTCCATTAAGTGGAAATGGATCATCATAAAGGTCTTCATCCTCATCTTTACATTAAGTAGGATGAGGAGGAGTTCTTGTTTTCAGGGGTGGCAGAGGCAGAAG